TCATGGAAAACTTTTTGCCCCAAACTCACTGTAACTGATTGACCGGATTAAGCAGGGTAATATATAGTTTATGAATCTCTTGTTCTCGAAAAAAATTGAGTGTTCTGATTATTCTTGGTATGATTGTGGTCATAGAAGCATGCACAACTTTGACAAATAACAAACGTTAATTTAGACTTCATTGCATCCAAAATATAATTTATCCACAATTTTTCTTGACAAAAATAGTGGAGGGGAATTAAGGTTAAATGGTATTAGTGCAGTAATCTATGTGCCCTTGAAAGGATTTTTCATGAAAGGATGATCATACTTCTTTATCCTACATAGCCATAGCCCATTAGCCATGTCTACAAACAGGAAAGAAAACAAAGCTTGTGTTCTTTCTCGTTAAGGCTAAACTGTCTCCTCCCTAGTGCTTCATAGGTTTGCTTCACAAATGTGACCTAAGATACAATTATAGTATTGTTCTTAACATGTTAATGATAAGGCGAGGGTCATGGGATGAATATAAAATCTAGCCCTCCAAACCTGTAAACAGAAAAGTTCCTGCAAACAAATAAAACAAGAACACGTGTACAAAATAATAAATTTGTATTAATGAATATTTAGGGTTTCAATATCTGTGGTTTATTCCTTACAAAAATATCCCTCTGATTCAATCTCCAATCTTGAGATTTGATCCAAGGGTGGGCAAGCACTTGATTTTGAACCAGAACAAGATTTCTTCAAGGGCCGTCGAGATTTGATCTTGAACGAAATAGGACCACGAGGGGTTTCACACGGTTGGTGGTCTCCGATATAATTTGATCAAATTAGCATTATTTTGCCCCCTTTTGTACTTGAGCTAATTTATTTGACGAAGGTCTCAGATGTCAACATGTGTCATTCTTGATTGCTTGTTTTGTCATGTGCCACGTGTATTTTGTGGGACGCATGAATTGTCCTAGTTAGTTTCGACTAGTCAAGTGGTTAAACTTTGGATTATTGATCACCGAAATTTTGATGTCTAGAAAACTGATGAGCCGATATTTTACTATATATTTTATCCTAATCTTAGTATTAATTTAGTGATTATTTTGGTGAGATTTTGATACTTTAAATTATAGTTCTAATGTAGGACATTCGACTTCCTCTTGAGAATAAAGTAATCAAACAAATGAATTTTGGATTGATTCTAATTGGAGGATGTTCGTGAGTCTTTCAAGACGATTGTATCAAAGTTTCATACTTTTCTACCAAGCCGTTTGGCTGTGGCAATGAAATAAAGGCCCAGCACGCAGCTTTCCCAGATTGACGTTTTTTGACGTTTTGGATATTTTGGAGGTCAAGATGGCAGATTTTAAGGAAGATTCCTTCTGAGGATTTGTAGGGGACATCTTCAACTTTTAATGAGACCATTTGGGACCAAATCGGAGTTGATTTGGTCGGTCAAAAAGGCTAATTTTCTGAGAAGTCTAAATTTTAGTTCACATAGGAAACCTTTCATTTTCTGTTTTATTATTTCATTATGTTTCCTAGTTTTATTCTAAGACTTTTTAGGGTTTTATTTTGGTAGTTGTATAAATAAGGATATTTAGCCATTAGGGTTTTAGAGGAGAAGGAGAGAAGGAGAGGAAAAGAACAAATGAAGATTATTTTCTAGGTGTTTTCTGTCCTTGTTCTTAATAATATTTTGTTTTATGATTGTTCGTAGCTAGTTTCTTTTGCTAGGGCAAAGCCTTGAGCCTTAGCAAGAATATGTAGTTTATTTTCAATTTATTTATGATATTATGCATGCATGTTTTGAATTATGAATCACCGTTTTATACTATCTAATTGTCTTAGTGATTTGTGACCATTAGGATATTTAGAAAAGTAATTTGACGCAATTTTAGTCGGAAGGTTCCCTGAAATTTGCGTTGGCTTCTTGTGGTTAAAAATTGTAATTTCACTTAGAATGAACTCCACGTCTTAAGGGTTGCATGGTTTTTCAAAAGGTTTTCATAAAACTTAATGAGTCTTTCATATTCATATTTGATCCGAACTTGATCCGAACGTCCAGACGAGTTTCATGTTAGATATTCGTTCTATATTCAAGTAGAATATATATTAGGAAAACCTAACCTTCAAAATATGCATGGATAATTCATAAATAGTTGGAAGAACTACGTAGGATTGTTAAGATGACGGCGGAACCCTAGTGCTTTTAAAAATAGTGTTTCTTTAAATTGATTTTTAGTTGATTATTTTAATTGTTTTTATTTTAAATTCTTTTTTATTATTTTAAATTCTAAAATCAACATTTTCAAAACTTTGTTTTAAATAAATAATTAAGAGTTAGTTTTAAATACAAATTATTCATTCAATCCATGTGGAAAACGACCCTGTTAGAGCTGCTATACTACGACAACCTTGTACTATTGTAAGTATCTTTAAATATTTTTATCCCTATTTTAGCAAGTGGTAAAATTTTCTTATCAAAAACCAACACTATTTATGAAATATAGCCTTGCAAATTTCTTGTTGTTCTATTAGTATGAGAGGCTAATGGCCAAAAAGTGTTAGGTAGCTAATTTTCGTTCGCCACCGGTTTCTTCCTAAACTGACCAATTGAGGGGCTCTGGGCAAGAGCTGGAGGAGCCATGGGCTAGGCTAGTTAATTTAAACAAGGTAATATATATGTCCCATTCGAAATTGGTTTTCAGTAATTTGGAGTTAAATATTGCATGTATTAGATATGCTCATTTACCATTTAATTTAAACAGGATTTCTTCTCTCATATAGATATATAATTGCTTGCTTCCCTATAGAGATAAATAATTTGCCCTTTCTTTTACATAATTGATACTTCCCTGTTGAATAGTCGAGGCTCAAAACTAAAATGTGGTATAAACATTATCAAAGAGAATACACATGAATTACTAGATTCTTAAATATAATCAATTTAGAAACATCAACTGTGAAACAAAATGACAGAATATATTAATTTATTTCTTTTGTTACATTCTAGTGTGATTTGTTCTTAGTAGAACTCACCCATTTTCACAATAAAATAATGCTAATTGAACTTAAGAAATAATGTGCTTATTTATCTTGAAGAAATTTTTGTAGCCATTACTTGGTACAAAGATCTTTCAAGTTTGTAAATATATATAAATATGCAACCACTACTAGAAATTTCCACTTTGCCGACAAAATTAGTTTGTCGGCAAAAGTCAACATTCGTCGGCAAAGAGCCTTTCCCAACAAAAAATTTTGTCGGCAATTTTGTCGCTAAAAGCATGTCGCGCAAGATCTTTCTCGACGAATCTTAATATTTCGTTGGCTCATTTTTAAGGCGACAAATCTCAGCCGTCAAACTGTGCCCGTCACCAAACCAACATTGCGACAAAATATTTTGTCAACATAGGTTGTTTTTTCACGATGAAGTTATTTGTCGGCTTAGTGATCTTGTCGCGACAAAGCATTTTGTCGGCTAAGTAATCTTGTCGCGACAAAATGGTTTTTCGGCTACGTAGTCCTATGCCAACAAACTGGTTTGTTGGCTCAAATTACTTGTGTAGACAAAATAGTTAGTTGGTTGAATCTTTTGTGAACAAAAACATTTGTCGGCTAATTGTTTTTGTGCCGACAAAACATGTCAAGTCCAATATTTTCTAATTTTTATTCACATTTGTTTTTAATAATATTTTTAACCATCACAAACAAGCAAGCTTAGGAGATCGAGAAGGGGCGTGAATGAAGAATTAATGTAGGAACAACACAAAATTCATGTAATTTAAAATAATGTAAGGTTCACAATTCGGTTTAGCTACAAAATACAAAAAAAATCTATATTTTCATTTCGACATTACTATAATATAGATAAAATATCTTTAAGTATCACCATTCTCACTATAGTCCTCATCACGTTGATATTCAGCATCATGAAAATGGGAAACGATTAGGATCACCATGAAACATTCCAGTATCAAACAACTGTAGAAGAAAAACAAATTAAAAAAAAACTTGATTAGCAAACTTTAAGGGTGCTAAATATCATTGACACTAAGGAAATGCAAGGCCACACTAGAGTGGTATTTCTAAACAAATAACTTATGAAACCATAAATGTGTAAACAGCAAGATAAAGATATCTACTAATCAAGTTAACTTACCAACACCATGCAGCATCACAACCTAGAAAAATTACATGTTTAATAGATACCAGGTAATAATCAAGTTAGCATCAACTACTTATACGTAATTCATCACTGTAAACAACAAGATAAACATAACAGCAAGGCAACATGATTCTCACACTCTGTAAACAAGGCAACATGATAAGTAGATGATATAAATCCTTGAAAGGTCTATAATGTATATAAACATAACACTACCAACCTAGCTAAGTAGGTTATAACTCTAGGACATAAGCATATGCACCTGGAAACATAAATAAACGATACTAAAGCACCCTAATTCATCACTGTTTATAATCTTTATCAGTGTAAACAAGAAGATATAGACATCTACTAATCAAGTTAATCCTCAAATATCAAAATTACCTGGCATGAATGATCCTCACACTGGTCTCCATGCCGTGCTGATATCAGTTGTAAGCTATCTAGCTCAGAATTCCACTTAGCCATAGACAACCTGCAAGTGTTATAGAAAGGAAAAACAAATATGTCAAACCTAAACCACAATATCGAATAATTACATTGGAAATCTGGAATTAAAGTCAAGGGACATTGTTTTTACCAATATTATACAAATGGATGCCCAAATCAACCAAAAATTGGAAACCTAGATCATAAAACTCGAACCCAAATGAAATAGTTCAATTAAGAACATGTTTTTCATCCATATATGCGATTCAATCAAAGCAAATACAATTATTTCATTTTGCAATAAAAACATGGAAAACAAATACAAAAACAAACAAACAAGTTAGCAAACTAATGTGATAAGGAAAATGCATATACAAAATGACGAAATTATTTAGACAAAAACACAATGAGTAAAATAAATACTGACTTACTAATAATCCAGATCACTATCGTCATCAGTAGTACTGCTTGAACTATCATCACCATGAGTACTATTTTCCTCATTGCTTATGTAGTCATTAGTATCTATATCACTTTCTTCATTATAATTGTAAATGAATTCATTTTCATCAATTCTGGGAAGAGCCCCAAGATCTATAATGATGGAGTCAATCTCAACTGCAACTGAAGGAACGTTTTCCAAGCAGTACGGAGTCAAAGTTTCATCAATGTGTTGTACTTGTGCCATGTCGGGAATGTCTGATGAAGAGTTCTCTTGGTATGTCACATCATCATCACTACTATCACCCTCGGAGTCCCCCTTTTCCGGAATATCCCATACATTTCTATGTTGAATTCTTTGAATTACTTTCCAACCAGTACCTGCCTTAGGATCAGCCACATAAAACACTTGCTTCGCTTGAGTGGCAAGAATATAAGGATCATTATCATACCAACGAGTGTTTGTGTTGACTGATATTAAGTGGTAGTCGCGTTTTATACTCCCTCGTCTAGAAGGGTCTGTATTGAACCAGTGGCACTTAAATAACACCACTTTATACCCCTGCCTATATAACAATTCAATAACACTAGTCAACTTTCCATAAAATTCTAGTTCTCCAGTATTGACATCTCCAGGCACATACACCCCACTATTCTGAGTAATTAATCTATCATCTCGTTCGGCAACTACAAACTTAACCCCATTCACAACACAACCTTGATATGTTTCAGCTCGCACAGCACCTCTCGCTAACTCAAACAACTCATCATTATATAAAGGTGACTTTTCCTTTCCCAAGCTCCTCATCTAGTAATATGATGGACAGTGTTATGCACAAATTATTTTAAAATAATGCAACACATTACAATAACTACAAACTTCGACTTACATGTTCACGAAACCAAGAAGGAAACTTATCTTTGTGTCTTTGCTCCACATTTGAACTACTTTCACGCTTTATTATTTCCTCATGCTCCCTGCTTAATAAGTCAAATAAATATTAGAGTGGGGAAAAAAAAACTACTTAAAAGTAAATATAGAAGAGGCCACCTACTCAAGGAATGGTGTCACCTCGTCACAATTGTTGAATATAAACCATTCAACTATCTTCATGTCAGCATTAGTGAATTCAACACTTGAACTACCCATAAACGGTTTTGCAATTTGGGCAAATACATAAAGCTTCTCTTGTCGCACACCACTGTCAATATTCCGTTCACGTCGATTAAAAGAACTTTCAACATTACGGAGATACATCCCACAAAAAGTGAGGGATTCATTTGAAAGGTATACCGCTGTAATAGATCCCTCAGGACGTGCTTTGTTCCGCACAGAGCGTTTATACCTTCCCAATAGTCTGCAAAGAAATTAAAGTGTTACAATTTAAATTTACAATTTCATAAGAACAATGAGATTAAATGGGAGAATAATATTGTTACCTTTCTATAGGGTACATCCACCGAAAATTAACAGGCCCAGCAAGTATCGCTTCATCTATTAAGTGGATCATGACGTGAGAATCATTACATCAAAGAATGCAGGGGGAAATATTTGTTCAAGCTTGCACAATATGTACACGATATTTTCTTTCAGCCTTTCCAAGTCTACCACACATAACGTTTTGGCACATATTTGCTGAAAGAAGCTCGATAATTCAATGATCGGTTCAACCACATTTTCCGGCAAAAATTTTCGAATACCCGCGGGAATAAGTCGCTGTAATAACACGTGGCAATCATGACTCTTCAATCCAGAAATTTTTTTCTCACCGACTTTCACATTTCGAGAGATACTGGCTGCATATCCATCTGGGTACTTTACAGATTTCAAAAACTCAAGGAATTCTTTTTGGAACTTTGGTTCCACGGTATAAAACGGGTGACCTTTATTCCACTTACTGCCGTCCCACTCTAGGCCACAAATTTTCTTTTATGCCCAAATTCATCAAATCATTGCGAGCTTTGTGCGTGTCTTTAGATTTTCCTTCTAGGTCCAGTATTGTTCCAACAACACTATCAGAAACATTCTTCTCGATGTGCATGACATCTAAGTTATGCCTGATTCTTAACTTTGACCAATACTCCAACTCAAAGAACACACTCTTTTTCGACCAATTTCGATGCTCAGGCGTTTTCTTCATTTTCTTGTCCGGATTGTTGTCGTGTTTACCCATCCGACCAAAATTTAAATTGGCAACTTGTGCTAAAATCTCTTCCCCTGAGAACTCCCGAGGTCTAGCACGATATTCAGTTCTCCCATCAAAAGAGTCTTTGTTATCCCGCCATGCATGATTCCAAGGTAGCCACCGTCGGTGTCCCATGTAACAAATCTTGTCGCTAAACCTTTCTGATGTTCCGTCCTCATTACAAACAGGGCATGCATTATAGCCCTTAGTGCTCCATCCCGATAGATTTGCGTAAGCTGGAAAATCATTGATTGTCCACATCAATGCCGCACGTAAGTTAAACACAGAATTAGTAGCCTTATCATATGTCGGCACACCATTTTCCCATAATTCTTTCAGCTCGTCAATTAATGGTCGTAAATACACATCGATTTCTCTTCCAGGTGCTTTATCACCTGGGATTAGCAATGTCATAATGGAAAATTCTTTTTTCATACATCTCCAAGGCGGCAAATTATATGGAACAACCACCACAGGCCACATACTATAAGGTTTACTCATATTATTAAATGGATTAAATCCATCCGTGGCAAGGCCTAACCTCACGTTCCGAGGGTCTGCTGCAAAGTCAGGATATATGTGTCAAACTCTTTCCATGCAGTTCCGTCAGCGGGATGTCGCATAACATCATCATCAACCCTTTTTTCCTTATGCCACCTCATATCATTGGCCGTGTGCACTGACATGTACAGCCGTTGCAATCTTGGCTTAAGTGGAAAATATCTTAGCACTTTTCTCGGAATCTTCCGCTTCTTGTCCGGAGAACTCTTATGATACCTAGGCTCATTACAAACAGGACACTGATCTAACCCTTCATTTTCTTTGTAAAACAACACACAATCATACTTGCAGGCATGAATTTTTTCACACCCTAACCCTAAATCTTTCAAAATCTTATCTGCTTCATAATGTGATGGAGGCAAAACATTATCTTTCGGAAGCATCCGTTTGAAAAGTGCCATGAAATAATCATAGCATGTGTTGGACATTCCAAACATGACCTTGCCATGCATGAACTCCACAATTGCCGTTAGTACAGAGAAACCTTCACACCCAGGGTACAATTCTCGTTGAGCTTGTTTTAATAATCTCTCAAACTTTCATGTTCTTCTCTAGGCATGTTGGACTCATCCACTTCCACATTATCATTACTGATTGTGTTATCATCCTCTTCCAAAGCATTGTTTTGACTAACATGCGTGTGTGGATGAAGATCGTTGATTACATTCATTACATGATCATTATCACTTCCTATTTCATTAATAGGTCGCGACACTGGTTGTGGGTTTTGAAAAACTTGAAACAGTTCTCAATCGCTCCCCATGATGAGTCCATGTAGTATAATTGAATGACATTCCACATCTACCCAAATCTTGCTGAATTTCTCTCAATGACTTCAATCTACAGTTGTTGCAATTCTGGCATGGGCACTTAGTATAACCCTCAGTGTTGACATGTTTGCTTGCCGTTTTCAAAAATTCTGAAATCCCATTTAAATATTCCCTACTCACTCGATTCGAATTTCGTATCCATTCCCTGTCCATGGCATATAAAGTATCTACTCCCTGTTTACAAATTTAATTTTACATGCAACATTCATTAGGACCAGCAATCAAACAATGAATAAGATAGGCTGAGGGTGACGGTTGTAACAACATACCTTACCAAAGAAAGCAGCTAGCCTAGAATATAATCAGATTCTTCAGTATATAAGCCCAGCCTTGTAACCGCCCTCTGTATAGGAAAATTGAACAAATTTAGAGAGAATTAGAAGGGGAAGAACCCATAATATACTCGCAAAAGAACCCAGTAAAAAAAATTGAATGGAAGGTAAAACAATTGCAGATGAGAATTAGAAGGGGAAGAACCCACAATATATACTCGCAAAAGAACCCTACAATATACTCGCAAAAGAACCCAGTAAAAAAATTGAATGGAAGGTAAAACAATTGCAGATGAGAATTAGAAGGGGAAGAACCCACAATATACTTGCAAAAGAATCGAAAAAGAAAATTGAAAACCCTAAGAGAATTACACAGAAAACTGATGGGTTTATCCATCAGAAACGTAAATTGAAGATAACAATTAGGAGGGAAAAACCTTTTTAGGCTTTGACTTTGACGATGGTTTCGATTTCCACCGGAAGGAGGCTGTCGGTCTGTCTATTTGCAGCGACGGAGATGGAGGTGGAGAAGGAGATGAAGGTGGAGCGGGAGAGGAAGAGGGAGAAGGGTGGGACGGAGAGAGTTAACTGCTTCATGGACTAAATTCTTAATTTTTTTTTTTCAACTCCGCGCCTCCTTTTAATTTGTTAAATACTGTTTTCTTAAAGTTTAGAGTTGTGAGTGACATGCTATGCATGCTACATTCAAATAGCACTGGCTAGCAATTCATGCAATTAAATTTTGTCTTGTCCTGATTTCTAATTTTAATAGACGGTTCTTATTCAATTTTTTTTGTTATGTATAATCTTTAGTTGTATGTATAATCTTAGTAGTTATGTGCTTTGACCCTAACAATTATCTTTACAAATCATTCATATCATACATACCATTAAATTTCGTAAGTGTTATACGTACAAATAAATAAATTTAAATCTACATAATAAATATATATATACACACACACACGCATTGAACTTGATAGGATACAAATTCTACGAAACTAATTTGAATGATCCAGCCGTCAAATTTGTTGTATATTCCATCGAGATCGCATCACCAAAAATCGCAAAAAAAAAAAAAAAAAAAAAAAAAAAAAAACCATTCAGAGATCAAGTAATGGGACAAAACTTTTCGACGGTTATCAATGAAAAATCACGATTTAAACGGTTATTTTAACTCCGATTTTAATGATTTTTTACAGCTACGCTCCTTGACCCTATACGAGTACAATGAATGAACTCGATCTTCAATTTAAAATATTTACACTAGTGGATACCACAAATCGTATGTTATACTTAATGAAAGTATGAATTAAACTCTTAAGTGTTAGTAAATCTATTATTTTGATGGGATATGCATTCTACGAAACTAGTTTCAATGATCCACCGTCAAACATGTTTGTATATACTTCGAGATCTCATATGCCAAAAATTGCAAAAAACAAACATTCAGCGATCAAGTAATGGGACAAAACTTTTCGACGGTTATCAATGAAAAATCACGATTTAACGGTTATTTTAACTCTGATTTTGATGATTTTTTACAGCTACTGCTCCTTGACCCTATACGAGTACAATGAATGAAACTCGATCTTCGATTTAAAATATTTACACTAGTGAATACCACCAAATCGTATGTTATACTTAATGAAAGTATGAATAAACTATTCAGTGTTAGTGAATCTATTATTTTGATGGGATACACATTCTATGAAACTAGTTTCAACGATCCAACCGTCAAACATGTTTGTATATATTTCGAGATCACATACGCCAAAAATTGCAAAAACAAACATTCAGAGATCAAGTAATGGGGCAAAATTGTTCGACGGTTATCAATGAAAAATCACGATTTAACGGTTATTTTAACTCCGATTTTGATGATTTTTTACAACTATGCTCATTGACCCTATACGAGTGCAATGAATGAACTCGATCTTCAATTTAAAATATTTACACTAGTGGATACCACAAAATCTTATGTTATACCACAAACATAACACCTTTCACGATTTTGCCAGCATCTTTCTTCAACTGAGGCCAAAATAAACGTTTCTCAATTCCTGCAATGGTTTTGTCTCTGCCTAAATGCCCACTCAAACCACCTCCATGAATATCTCGAATAAGCTTCTCTCGTAAGGATGAACTAGGAATGCACAGCCTGTTACCTTTAAACAAATACCCATCTCTAATGTGGTAATCTGAAACAGGTTGATTCTGAACACACTTTGCCTAAACTTCTTTGAAATCAAAATCAGCTTCATATAACTCTTTTAAAAACTCAACCCCACAATCTTTGTGCTAAAGTAAATCAACAATTTAGCTCTCCGACTCAAAGCATCAGCAACACGATTGAGAGATCCAGATTTATGCTTAATCACAAAAGGAAACTTTTGAAGGAAATATGGCCCATCTTACATGCATTTTACTCACACTCTTCTGGTGTTGATGAACTTCAAAGCTTGATGATCAGTATAAAGATGAATTCTTGTTGCACTAGATAATGCTCCCACTGCTTCACAGCACGCACGACCGCATAAAATTCCTGATCATAAGTTACTCCACTTTTACGGGCTTCACTCAACTTTCACTGAAGAATGCCACTGGTCTTTTTTTCTTGACGACTACACAGCTCCCACGCCCAATCCGCTTGCATCATATTCGACCTCGAATATATCTTCTCGAAATTGGAAGACGCTAAAACCGGTGCAGTGCTAAGCTTTCTTTTAATCAATGCAAAACTCCTGTCTTGTGCTTCACCCCATTGACAACTTTCCTTGCTTTGAGACACTCTAGTAATAGGAGTTGTAATGGTACTAAAGTTCGTACAAAGCGTCTATAAAAAGTAGCAAGGCCATGGAAACTACGCAACTCACTTACGGTTTTGGAAGTAGGCCATTCTCTAATTGCACGTACCTGGTCTTGATCCACATGAAATCCATCTTTGCTAACAATATAACCCAAAACAGCAACTTACTTGTAAGGAATGTGCAACTTCTTCAAATTAATATAAAGTTTATTCTTTCCAGAACATCCAGAACTTGTCTCTAAGTGCAATAAATGCTCTTCTTTGGTTTTACTATAAATCAAGATATCATCAAAATACACAACAACAAATGACCCAGTAAAAGGACGCAAAACTGGTTCATAAGTCGCATGAAAAGTACTTGGTGCATTTGATAATCCGAATGGCATTTACCAGCCATTCATACAGACCATCCTGCTTTTAAAGGCCGTCTTCCATTCATCTCCTGGTTTAATTCGAATATGATGATAACCACTGCGCAAATCAATTTTCGAAAACACCTTAGAACCCTCAAGAACATCCAGCATATCCTTCAACGTGGAATTGGAAACCTATACTTGATGGTGGATCTTATTAATGGCTCACTATCACACACTATGCCAGTGTTATCATTTTTTGCACTAATAAGACGGGAACTGCACAAGGACTCATACTTTCACGAATAAATCCCTTTTTCAGCAGCTCTTCAATCTTCTCCTTCAAGATTGCATTTTCTTTCGGATTCATCCGATAATGGGTAGGTTAGGAAGGCTTGCTCTAGGGATCTAAATCAATCTGATGTTGAATATCTCGCATAGGAGGAAGTTGTCCGGTAAATCTTTCAGAAATCAAATCTTCAAACTTTCTCAAATTTCCTGCACTTCTTCAAGAAGGTGGCTTTGCAGCAAACATCTGTCACCATGAGACCCTTAAGTACAACTGGATTACATGCAACCCAATTCTTTA